GCGGATCATTACTTTTCATGGCTTACATGTATTCTGTTGTATGAATACATTATATTTTATTTATCCACTTAGTGTTGGGGAACTGTTTTGTGGAATGGTTTGAGGATAATCTGTGGACAGTGTGACATTTTGCCTCTAAACACCTCATCACATATATTTGAAGGCCAAGGACATTTCTCCTGTGTGATCACAATGCCACCAGCACTCCCTGGTTAGTTAAAGTTGATAACGTCTTATCAAATACTAGTCCATATTAAAACTTCCCCTTGGCCTCAGTGATGCCAAATGGGAAATATGGGCTACACTGAGCTGCTGAATTTCAGCACCATTTGTTACACAGCAACAGATAACTGATACCGGGGTCTCCTGCCAGAGAGGATGTTCGGGGGGCTGGTAATTTGTGATCCCAGACTTCCCTGTGTCTGCTTTTGTGTTCCCATTTCACATCTCAGGGCTCAGGTCTGTTGGAGCAGTGGCCCCCGTGGGGTTGTTTTCCATAATCTTCTGTTCCCTGTGTGTGCATTTAATGCCCTTTCTGTTAGTTCTCCAGGTTATGCGTTCACAACCTTTCCCTGCTTTCTCTGGGCATAGATGAGGATCACCTAGAGTTCCTTCCTCCAGGAAGGAAGTATGTGCTCACACAGGTCTCCTTGGGGACCTACGGGACAGTTAGAAGGAGGGGGACACATGCCCAGGACACATGTAGGGTGTTTGTGCACACATTTTGATCAAGAGCCACGAAATTCTCTCCAGAATGGCTGCATCTCTTCCATTTTCACCGGCAGTAGAGTGGGGTTCTTTTACCCCTACTTTCTGGCCAACATTTTACAGCATGAGACATGAAGTAAGATTTTCCCATTGTGCACACTGCCATAGATATTTCTGGAATAGAACTCTTACCAAAACTTAAAAAAAAGTTTTACTTGATTCCTGGCTCCATACCTGTTTTTCAAGATTCATGAATAGACACACTTTATGAAATGCCTTTAATAATCAACTGAGAAAAGCAGATGACTGCTTTTTCAATCTATATATATGGTGCATTTTAGCAATACACTTTATTACCCTGAATAATCTTGGCATTTCAGGATTTCCTATTTGATCTTAATGTATTATATCATTGACACTATTGAATTCAGCATAACGGTTTTCCCTATCTGTGTGCAAGGTGAAATGGGCCTATTACTTTCTTTCCCTGAATTTTCCATACCTCAATTTGGAATCAAGATTACACAAGCCTGAGATGGTTGGCCAGGCAGCTAACTTTTTTCTGTTTTCTGGAAACTGTAAGATAGGCATTGAGTGTTCCTTGAATGACTGATGTTACTCATCTGTGAGACCATTTGGACTTCTTAAAAAAATAACTATTTATTAGAGGCCACTGACAACTTTTCCTGTTTTTACAATGTTTATTGTATAGTCGAGTTGTATACATATGAATATGTTTGTTATGTATGTTTTATATAAAAATTATATATGCATATATATAACATTTTAAAGACTTTGATAAATTAATGTAGTTTACCTATCTCACATAAGTTTTCAAATCTATTAGATTTATTCATATACCTTTTTTAATGGTTGTATCTCTGTTTTATCTGCAGCTATTCCCTTTTCTTCTCTGTGCCCCAGTAGTACTAGGGATTGAATGCAAAGCCTTTACACTGAGATAGATCTTCAGCTCTTTTTAAATTTTGAGACATAATCTCACTAAGTTGCCCAGACTGGACTCAAATGTGGAAGCCTCCTGCCTCAGCCTCTGAGAGTGCTGGGATTCCAGGTTTGCACCTCCACCCTTGGTTTCTCTTTTTCATTCTTTATTTTGCTTCTTATATTTTTCTCCCTTTCATGCCTGATCAATTTTGTTTCAAGTTTGCAAGTTGTAAAAATATTTTTAAGAGGTAGTTTTTTGGTTTGTGAGTCTTTTCTGCCTTGTTTTGGTTCTCTATTTCATTGCTATTTTTATCTCTATAATTTCTTTCCTTATTTCTTCTTTCCTTATTTCTCAATTTGCTCAATGTCTCCTTTTATCCCCAAAACTTTTAAGAATAATTTTAAGTAATTTGTTTTTTAACTTTTCTTGTTCTAGTGAATGTACTTGAGGCCATAAAATTCTTTCAAAGTACCTGCTTTACTTGTATCCAACAAAATTTAACAAGCAACATTTTTATCACCTGGCTCCAAATAAGATCATTTTTTTTTATGGTTTAAATTTATGTTACATACCAATATTTTATTAATTTATAAATCATGAGAATTTTAGATATCTTTTCATTACCAAGTTCTAATTTTATTATGGTGTAGGTGCAGAACATAAACACAAAGTCTGACAAAAAATGTATATACACTTCAGGAAAAGGAAAATATTATGATGTTTTTTCAACAGATGGCGTTACCCTCATATGAGGGACCCTAAAGGATGTTGTATAACACGGAAAACCCACTACGCTGTCGGCTTTTAGAGATGAAAGTGAAAATGCATGTGCACCAAGGTTACCCAAGCAGCAGTTTGCAGCACTAATAAATGTCTGGAAGCTCATCCACCACTGTGAGCACCTTTTGTGATTGTAGAGGTCAAAGGTAACTTGTATTAATCTCATGATGTCTCAATAAACTTAGTATTAAAATATTTATACAAGTTTTTCTTTTCTTGAAGTGTGCATACATTTTTTTCAGTGGACTCTGTAGTCTCCAAAATACTGACACTTTGACATTTACTAGAGTTTTCTGTTTACTGGAGTTTGCTTTATGGAATAAAGTAGTGAACGTTCTGTGTGACTTAAGAATCCATTATACGCAGGGCATGGTGGTGCGCGCCTGTAATCCCAGCACTTGGAAGACTGAGGCAAGAAGATCACCGCGAGTTGGAGACCAGCCTGGGCTACATAGTGAGTTGAAGGCCAGCCTAAACTGCACAGAGAGTCCCTGTCTCAAAAACAAATCCATTATATATATTTTTATGTGCATGCCTGTGTGTGTGTGTTGGGAGGTCATGTTTTGCACCTAGTTTTAGTTTCTTCTTTACTTTTACTATCTTGTGGCTCGGCTAGCTGGGTTTTCCCACTGGTAGCTGGTTGAAACATACATGTCCTATTAAACGGCCTGTCTAGGCAAAAAACAAGAGTCCTGACTCGTAGCCTTGCTGATTTCTGGGGTGTAAATACTTCCTGCATGGCTAGTACTGAGCGTGGGTAGGTTGCCTTGCGCAGTGCCTGAATATTTTCGATCTGATTTTACAAGCCAGCACCACACCACTTCTTTTAAGACACTCAGTGTTGTATATTAGTTTTAGTGTTCGGCTTCATGTATTTTCTTAACCTAATTTTCCCTCTGCCCCTGTTTGTTCTTCCTCTGTAAACTGTGTCCACCTCTGGAGATGTTACAAATCCCTTCCAGGAATGGAGGGTAGAAGGGTACAGTGGTAAAAACGTGGCATACTAAATTTTGTGGGTATAGACAGAGTGGTACTTTAAAAGAATTTTATGGTTTCAAATATATTTCAAATACTTCAAAGGTAACTGACCTAAAACTATCCCTCAAAACTTGCGGGGGGGAAAAAGAGCAACTGAGCAAAATAATGCAATAAACTATAAAGATAAAAACAGCAATGAACTAGAGAACAAATTGGCCAATTAAAAAAATGGAAGCTTTCCAATTTGCATAGCTGTAAACAGTGTTAAATCCTGATTCAGTTCTTCAAACCTTTGCTGTGCTGCTTAGGGTGGGTCACGTGGGTGTGTCACACACGCACAGCTCCAGGGTGACAGAGCCTTTGTGAGCTGCTCCTGCAGTGAGGGAGTCGCCTCTCCAGGACTCTCATTTTGGAGATTCCCCTACACTCTCCTGCCCCCCCCCCCCACTTCTCTCGGCTCCTCTCCTGAGCGTTGGTCAGCGCCTGCGCTAAATCGCAGAGCAGCTGTGCACCAGGGACCAACTTCAGGGCCGAGCTGTGGGGCACCGTATCTGGGGACCTGGCATCCCTTGGTTTTGACCATCTGC